CTATAGGGGGGATGAATTACTATAGGGGGGATGAATTACTATAGGGGGGATGAATTACTATAGGGGGGATGAATTACTATAGGGGGGATGAATTAATATATGGGGGATGAATTACTATGGGGGAATATTACTATACTTACTATGGATGACACATACACATCATTCATTTACTCTTGGTCCGGCCCCCGGTCCAATATATGAACCCATTGCGGCCCTCAAGTCAAAAAGTTTGCCCACCCCTGGTCTAGAAACTTGTAAAATTGAGTCCATAGCTCCATCTGCTGGCTGGATAGAGGACTACATGTTCAAATGCAATACTGTATGTTAAGGGAGAAGTTAGACTGTTACCCCAACATTTCATATTCCTGATATGTGCCTGCTGTACTATGTATGAAAAAGTATACTGTTCTTTGTATTGCTTCCTTGTGTGAAATCCTTGGTATTTCTGCCAGTCCCTCTGCTTTCCTATTACAAACTGACCACACGTTACACCCGTATTTAGGATCTAAACATGTTCCAGGAGATTAAAAAAAAAAGTATAAAAATATAGCAGCTAGATACAGTTCAGTCCATAAATATTTGGACACAGGTACAATTTTTATACTTTTGGCTCTGTATGCTACCAGAATGAATTAAATGTTTAGCCTAGGTCCATGGAGGAGAACCTATGGCACGCATGCCGCAGCAGGCACGCAGAGCCCTCGCTGCCGGCACGGGAGCCAAGTCGCCCCACTACTGCCCTGCAGCTGAGCATCTGGTCCCGCGCATGTGTGGTCGTAGCTCCAGCCAATGACGTCACGAGCAATGACTACCTCCCTAGCTGCTCCTCGGAGCTTTCAGCGTGCCTTCAGCCAGCAGTGGATCTGCTACAAACAAGAATGTCCATTTGCTGCGCTGGATGTGAGTTTTTCTACATATTTAACTGAGACTGACATTCTTTTAATGTTGTGCTGTCCCCCTGGCACTTAAATCTGCAGCTTTAGGAACATTGCTCCTCTGTGCCCGTGGCCGGTGTAACCTTGCCCCTCTGTGCCCGTGGCCGGTGTAACCTTGCCCCTCTGTGCCCGTGGCCGGTGTAACCTTGCCCCTCTGTGCCCGTGGCCGGTGTAACATTGCCCCCCTCTGTGCCCGTGGCCGGTGTAACATTGCCCCCTCTGTGCCCGTGGCCGGTGTAACATTGCCCCCCTCTGTGCCCGTGGCCGGTGTAACATTGCCCCCCTCTGTGCCCCTGTGGCCGGTGTGTAACATTGCCCCCCTCTGTGCCGGTGGCCGGTGTGAAACATTGCCCCCCTCTGTGCCGGTGGTCGGTGTGTGAAACATTGCCCCCCTCTGTGCCGGTGGTCGGTGTGAAACATTGCCCCCCTCTGTGCCGGTGGTCGGTGTGAAACATTGCCCCCCCCTCTGTGTGCGGTGGTCGGTGTGAAACATTGCCCCCCTCTGTGCCGGTGGTCGGTGTGAAACATTGCCCCCCCCCTCTGTGCCGCTGGTCGGTGTAAAACATTGCCCCCCCCCCTCTGTGCCGGTGGTCGGTGTAAAACATTGCCCCCCCCCCTCTGTGCCGGTGGTCGGTGTGAAACATTGCCCCCCCCCCTCTGTGCCGGTGGTCGGTGTGAAACATTGCCCCCCCCCCTCTGTGCCGCTGGTCGGTGTGAAACATTGCCCCCCCCTCTGTGCCGCTGGTCGGTGAGAAACATTGCCCCCCCTCTGTGCCGGTGGTCGGTGTGGAACATTGCCCCCCCTCTGTGCCAGTGGTCAGCAAGTTCAAGAGGAACTCCAGCTGTGAATGTACGATGTTAATGTACGAGGAGTTTTTTCTGAACTAAAACCTCCTTATTCAGGTTTAATTTCAGTGTTGGCGCTCTGCGATAAATAAGTGGGTTTTTGGTCGCAGTTTGGGCACTCGGGCTCGCCATCACTGGCCTAGGTGTCCATGCACACTATGCATATTTTCAGGAGTTCAGTGGCAGGGGAGTTTACAGGCAGAAAAAAAACAGGCTCCATGCACCCTAGCGTGTTTTTTTTTTTTTCTATTTTTTTACAGCTAAAAAATGCTGGAAAAAACACTGGTAATAGCGTTTTAGTAGACTTTAGAAGCGTTTAGGAACATTAGCATTTTTATTTGCATTTTTGCTGTACATGTAGGTGAAAAAAAGCTAGAAAAGCTGTAGGAGTGTCTTAGTAGAGGTTAGTAGCATTTAGGCGTGCTTAGGGTTTCTTTTTCTGCCAGAAAAACGCTCCCAAAAAATTCTACAAAATAGTTTTTTCTGCTCTTAAATGCAGAAGCTTAAAAAGCGCTACTAGCCTAAGGTTGCATGCATGGACACATAGGATAACTGTTCTCTCTCCAATCTAAGTGTGATCTCTGTAACTTACAGTTGTGATGAGATAGCGATAACTCCAATCTTAGTTGGATAACACAGGCAGTGACTCAATCCAGGTGACACCTTGTAGATCTTGTGAGAGAATCTTACAACAATGAACATCGGATAGGTCAAAAGATCATAATGTGATCTGCTTCATGACATGAGTCTTGAAGCTGAAATGCCTTACTGGGAAAAGGGGTGGGCTATCTATACAGCATGAACTAAACCAGAAGAGAGGGAGGAGCAGAGACAAAATACAAAGAACACTTAAAGGCATATGACAGTCATGTGAAACATGACAATAACACTATTCAGCTTCTAGGAGCAGAAAAAAATGTTGATAATGTGATGATTGCGGCGTCAGACTCCAGCCCTTCTCACCAAACTCATGACTGAAGGACTCTGTCACGTGTGTAATATGCAGACGCATCGGCTGAACGTCTAGATATGAAATATGACATACCTGGGGGGATGGTTGAGGAGATATCATTTTCTTCTCTCCTGTAGATGTCAGGGGATGTAATATATCAGACGACTTGTATTAAAATGACCGGTCTGAATATATGCCTGGTTTTTAGGTATGTCTTTCATAGTCAAAGATATGAAATCATAGGGGAAAATGGATTTTTGAATGTGATGTCTGCTTTATGACTTATCTGGAATGTTTTGAAGCTCAGTGAGGGACTTGGTTTATGGCTTTACGATATTCCAGATTGAGACGTTAACAGACATCTAAGCACCAGCTCGGTTGGGATTTTATAGCCCTGGAGCTCTCCCGCTGAGCCTTGACTTCCTGTGACCTCTGCCTCATCCAGACCACATGTCACTCAACAGAGAGGGGGGATTTGGAGTAGGAGAGAGATGCAACATGGATGACCGCGTCTATCTCTGTGTGCACAATTGCTACAGATAATAGCTTCTAGGGGCTAAAAAAAAGGCATGAAGCCTTTGATTGTAAGCTCTGAGCGGGGCCCTCTGTTTCCTACTGTATTCGATTGTACTGTCTGCCCTTATGTTGTAAAGCACTGTGCAAACTGTTGGCGCTATACAGTATAAATCCTGTATTATCTCTTGTGCATTCAGGAGAGGAGCTTTTGAGCATAAAAAATGTTCAAAAATTTAAAAAAATGCATTCGAATTGCCAGAATTATGGCCAGTAGAATGCATTAACGCCAAATGCAAGTTTGAACGTTAACATGGATTAATGCAAAAGGAGAAAAAAATGGTTTTTACTGCGTTATTTTTTTTTATTCTGAAAATTCCTGTAGAAAAAAAAAAAGTTTTGAGCTGCACAGTGTGCATGTTGCCTGTCTAACAGTTAAGCAATGGGACAAAGCGCATGTCATCTGTGGCTGGATAATGCATAAGACTTGAGGAAATGACCAAGAGAAGACATTGACAGAGTAACGGGGGGGGGGGGGGTCAGATGTAGGTTTGCCCTCTAGAAGGTGTAACGGAACCGGAACCCGACCACTCTTGGGTATATTCCGTTATACCGCAGCTTCCCCTGTCCGAACACCATCCACCGACCACACCCTTGAAATCCCTCAGGAAATAGACAGCACCCAGCTCTTCTTAAAACAGGAAGCCAACTCCCCTTTATTTAACACAAACCACATGTTTTATACAGAGGGTGGGGAAAGACAACCAGGGACTGGAAACACATCATCAGCCCGCCCCCATCAGTGGGGAGGGCTGCAGTATGGGCAGGAAACACCTCATCACCCCTCCCCATCCAACCCAGACACAGAACAATGGGATAGCACATGGCATAGAACAAACAATGGACAGCCACATGGCAGAGAACAAGGACAAAGGACAACACACAAATGCACAATACTGGGACATTCGCACCCTGTACCCCTAAACAGGTACAGGGAGGGTTAAACATAATGGGAATTTGGGAAGATGATACAGAGGTCCCCCCCACCCCCAAAAGTCACTCCCGTCACAGAAGGTAAGTACTTGAACATTTTGCAAGGTTCAGGGGCCCGTTTTTAACTAAAGTTAAAAAAAAAAAAAAAAAAAACATTCCCTTTCTTATTAACTCCAATGTATTACTCCAAAATTTTCCCAAATCTTTTTTTTTTTTTTTTTTTTTTTTTTTTAACCAAACTTTAAGGGGAACGAGAACCATTTTAGGTCATCCCTGGTTAGGACAACAGAAGCTCCATGTATGGTGACCGGCTTAAATGGCTCATGAGTTGTTCTACGTACCAGTTAGCAAATGCAAAGAATAAAAAAAGTCCAGTACATCCACTAGATGGCAAAATAATCTAATTTTGCAGACACCATTCAAAACCAATAATACAAAAAAAAAAAAAAAAGGAGGGAGGGAGGGAGGTTCTGATTTCATCTGCAGCTGAGCCGTCTGAAAGCGACCTAGTAATCAGACCACAGGAAGGGCTGAAAGAAAGCAGAGTGCTCAGGCAAGGTAAGGTGCAAGCTTGTGTATATAGTCGTGTCTCTTTGTTGTGTCCATCCCAAAAAGTGATGCTCTGGCCAACAGCCACAAGAAGGCAGTTAGCCTGTTATCTGGAGCAGTATCATCCTGGCTCCTGCACTTCCAAACACTTTGTATCCTACTGCCAGCCCTGAGATCCTGACATAAGGATAATATCCAGCAACAATAATTTTATGCAACTGCACTGTTTATATCATGGCTTGTATTTTTGTTGGGTTCAACCAAAGTGTTTGCACGGCACTACATTTTTTTTAATATATATATTTCCTCAACAGGTGCCTGCTCCATCTCGGCATGTAACTCCTCCTTGCCTTTGCATAAAAGACAGAATCCTTCTGAGCCCAAAACGAGAGATCCCTGAAAGGAAAGATGCCAGAACAAAGCAACGACTATCGGGTGGTCGTGTTTGGGGCAGCGGGAGTCGGGAAAAGTTCTCTGGTGCTCAGATTTGTCAGGGGGACTTTCAGAGAGAGACCTACATCCCAACGATCGAAGATACCTACAGGCAGGTCATCAGCTGCGATAAGAACATCTGCACGCTGCAGATCACCGACACGACAGGCAGCCACCAGTTCCCGGCCATGCAGCGGTTGTCCATCTCCAAAGGCCATGCTTTCATCCTGGTCTACTCGGTGATCAGTAAGCAGTCTATGGCAGAACTTCAGCCAATCTATGAACAGATCTGCCACATCAAAGGAGACACTCAGAACATTCCCATCATGCTGGTCGGAAACAAGAGCGATGAGTCTCTTCGGGAGGTCCAGGCCAGTGAGGGGGAGAGTTTGGCCAACAAGTGGAAGTGCTCTTTCATGGAAACCTCAGCCAAGCTTAACTACAATGTACAGGAGTTGTTCCAAGAACTTTTAAACCTGGAGAAGAGACGAACTGTAAGTCTTCAGGTGGGTGGGAAGAAGTCCAAACAGCAAAAGAAGAAAGAGAAGCTCAAAGGGAAATGCTCCATCATGTGAAGTGGACCTCAAGCCAACAAACTGTCTTTCGGACATCAAATTAGGTGTCGAGTTTTAGGTTGGACTTCTTATTTCTGGAAAGTGGTGCCAGGATTTTATAGCATCATGATTACCATAGCAACCATTTTCTGCTTACAGTTCTTTGAAGGCAAGCTCTCTGCATGCTCCGCCACCTCCATTTTGAGTTCTGAACACATTCGCGCATCGGGATGCTCATTCTTCAGAAGGGAACCACGTTTTGGGCTGTTTCGTATTTGTCATGAAGTTGGGAGATGTTTTAACGGCAAATTACACAGACATGAAGTTTTTGTGTAATGTTTGCATGCCAGGATACTGGGGTTATGAAATGAAAGTGCTGCTGTAAATTAAATATTGACTTTGTGTTCATTATTTTATTGTATTTTTTTTTTACATTTTTGGAACTTGTACTTCTCTTTAGAGTTTTTAGATATTTTTGGGGGGTCATTCATAGGAGACTTCATAAGGGAGTTTGCTCATTTTAAGTGGAGCCTCAAAAACTTTTTTTCATTATGCTTTGGAGGTCACAGATTAAAGGTGAAACTGTTAGTAAAGTAGAATCAGCCAACTTGTCTGTCCCTTTTTTTTTTTTTAATACAGGATAAAATGTGGAAGGGTTAGATCCTCAAGGGTCTTCAAACGTTCTAAACAAATGCTAGTTTACTGTCCTACAGATTTTAGGGGGGGGGGGGGTGCAGACTGGCCATTGAAAATAAAAGTTGTCCTGGTGTCAGTGGAAGTAAAAAGTGCATCTTTGGAATTAGGGGGAGGAATTATGCCCCATCATTGCTGTCAGTGAGAGGCATAGTGCCCCATAGTTGGTGTCAGTGGGAGGCATAGTGCCCCATAGTTGGTGTCAGTGGGAGGCATAGTGCCCCATAGTTGGTGTCAGTGGGAGGCATAGTGCCCCATAGTTGGTGTCAGTGGGAGGCATAGTGCCCCATAGTTGGTGTCAGTGGGAGGCATAGTGCCCCATAGTTGGTGTCAGTGCCCCATAGTTGGTGTCAGTGGGTGGCATAGGCATAGTGCCCCATAGTTGGTGTCAGTGGGAGGCATAGTGCCCCATAGCTTGTGTCAGTGGGAGGCATAGTGCCCCATAGCTTGTGTCAGTGGGAGGCATAGTGCCCCATAGCTTGTGTCAGTGGGAGGCATAGTGCCCCATAGCTTGTGTCAGTGGGAGGCATAGTGCCCCATTGTCGGTGTCAGGGGGAGGACTGGTGCCCCATTGTCGGTGTCAGGGGGAGGAATGGTGTCTTGCATCTGTGGGTGGAAAAGTGCCCCAAGGGCCGGATATAGGCAAGCAAAGGGCCACATCCAGCCCCCAGGGCACAGTTTGGAGACCACTGCTCTATCGGGTTTTTATTGTGGTCTGTACTAGAGAAATTACCCTCAATTTTGGTTCCAGTGAGTCGCGTCACCAGGACAGGAAGTGAGGGAAAATCTCCCCCAAATGGTTATACAACCCTTCCCACTTCAATCCAAAAAAAAAAATGTTTGATCTGGAAATCTACTTTCTACTTTTCTACTTGGAAGTCCTAGAACAATCTATCATTCTCATGTAACGTAAACCTGTATTTTTTAAAAAATTTGAGTTTTTTGTTTAAAGTGTATGTACAGCCAAAACTTTCCTCTTTACTCTTATTTCCAAAACTAGAGGGTTAACCACCCCCCGCCCCGGCTTTATTTTTATTTTATTTTTTTTCCTGTGTACCATTGGGGTGAATTACCCTTTACTTCCTGTCCTCAAGATGCAACAGGAAGTAAGAGGAAATCTCTTAAGTGATTCCTCTTGGTTGTGTCTAGAACAAGTATCCCCATTGGACAATTTCCCCTCTTGGTCAGGTGATTCCTGGTTTCCCATCATGTTCTGTTCCAGTGACAATGGTCACCAGGACAAATAGGGAGAATGAATCTACCCAACAGGGACACATACAGCAATGACAGGTGTAATCCCCCCAACCAATCAATCCGGATTTTAAAAGAGAAAAAAAAATGTGTACACCAACACTGCAATAACTGATTGCTCAAGTGACCAGTAAAGACACGCCTAGTGGGCAATGAAAGTTGTAAAAAGTTTATAATGGTGTATAGGTTCACTTTAGAGCTTCCAGGGACATGGCAAAATTAACCTCCATAGTGGTGCTCAGGGCCGGGACAAGGGGTGGGTGGAAGGGGCGGCTGCCCTGGGCACACAATGGTTTGCTGTAGGGATGGGGGCACCTTCCTTCTGTTACAAGGCTGACAGGAGTGGTGACAGTGATTTTGACAAGTAAGTGACTGCTGGGTGTATGGTCCCCTAAGCTTGCACAGCATGAACTGGAGGGCGCAGTTGGCCATCTTCTCCCTGGGCGCTGAATGGCCTTGTCCCAGTACTGGTGGGGCTCCTCCTGCACTGTGAGGATTAAATGCTCATTTTTGTCTAGGGAGTGGTTTTACGATGAGGCCCAATGACGGGGCACAATTACACCAACTATGGGGCCCAATGACACCAATGAAGGGGCACAATTTCTCCCAATTACACAAACAATGGGGCACTACTACTTCCACTGATATCAAAGATGGGGCATTTTTTTCCCACTGGCGTTGAGACCTTTTCTACTCCCAATGGCCCCAGTCTGGGCCCCCCCTCTAAAAACTGAAGGACAGAAAGCTGGCCCTTTGTTTAGAACGTTTGGAGACCCCTGCTTTAACCCCCGGTTTACATCTGTTTGGTGCCGCGTTTTGCACGGACACGAGAGCCCATTTATTTGAATGGACTCCCGTGCCCCATGACACGCAGGGAAGAAGTCCCTGCACTTCTATGGAAAATGCAGCCCGCACGGGCACCTCGGATCTCAGTACGGTTGCGTTTTCCAGTGCAGGTGGCGTGCCATTAGAACTAATGGCATCCGCGGGTCCTCAATTCTACGGATTTCCATGCGGATTCGCAGCAGCACCACTCGCACAGATGTGAACCTAGGGTAAGGGATAAGTTCACCGTTTTTGTCGGTAAAACATTTTGCATTTATTTATCTATTTTGTTAGGAGCCTGTAAAGCTTTGCACCCGCAATCAGCAGGCACTTACACATTGACAGAAATTATCAATGAACTACCTAAAGTGCTCCACAGCGCCCTGGTAGTTCATTGAGTACCACAAGCCGACAGTCGCAAAGGCTGCCAGTACTTTAACTATCACAAAACATCCGGCCGCCCACCCAGCCGTGGGATTTTTTTTTTTTTTTTATATCCCCCACTCACTGTCAGAAGGGGGGTGCGGGGGCAGATGCATACGTTACGTGTTACAGCCTGTACATGAGTGTAACATGCTACTTATCCTTTAAAGAGGGTCCATTTGAAGCCGATCAAACACCACCAAAAGAAAGCTATATTTGTGGGGAAACAAAAGGACGTGAATCTCATTTGGGTGCAGCGTTGCATGACCGCGCAATTGTCAGTTAAAGTAACGCAGCCCCATATCACAAAAAATGTCCTGGTCAGGAAAGGGTGGTAAATCCTCAGGAGGGGAAGGGGTTGAGAAGTGGATGTGTATGGATTAGTTTTGGAGAAAAAGGATACTGTCTAGTTGAAGAGAAGGTGATGGAGTCACTTACCTGTGAACAACATTTCCCCTTTGCTGGGATCCTCGGCTTACAGCGGTATGAAACCCAAAAGCTAACATTTAGTCCTCGTGCACACGGGATGTTTTTACAGCGGTTGTTCTTGGCTTTTGACTTGTTTTTTTTTTTCCTACAGCCAGTAAACCCCCCACCATGTTATCCTGTGTGTCCATCCCCGCGTGTTATCCTGTGTGTCCATCCCCGGCGTGTTATCCTGTGTGTCCATCCCCGGCGTGTTATCCTGTGTGTCCATCCCCGCGTGTTATCCTACGTGTGCCCATCCCCGGCGTGTTATCCTATGTGTCCATGCACACATAGACTGTAATAATTGTTTTCTGGCTGGAAAAAAACTCCAGGACTAGCGGGTTTCTAGAGGAGTTTTGTAGCTTTAAACATGCTCTAATGCTGAAAAACATGGTAAAATGCCAAAAACTAGCGTTTTAAACTTTTTTTTTTTTTTTTTACCCCCACCCCCAAAACTTGGGGGGATGCTAAAAAAACACATATGCAGAAAAACGTGGCAAAATGCTGCTAAACACTAATCTGCTGAAAAACTCTACACACCTAATGTTACCAGTGTTATTAAAATGCCCCGTCTGCATGGAGCCTTATTATATTGCAGCTTACCAAATCTTGGGTGTGTAGCATTACCCCCTTGGGGGTTGCTAAAGATTTGGGTCCCCCTATAGTCCTGCACAGCCAGGCAATCTGCACTCTCCACACAAGCTTGTGTTCCGAGTCAGAAATCAGTCCCTTTTTTTTTTTTTTTTAAAGATTTATTAAGAGGATTAGAACTGGGATAGGGTAACGGGGGTGTAGGATGCCCCAAGGGCACCAACAACTGAGGACAATCTTGTTGGAACTATTCACAAGCTTTTTCTACAGCACAGTCTGTTGGATAGCTAGCCACCGTCTCCTTGATGGACCACCCCAGACCCTAGATGAACTCCTCTTCACCCAGCAATCTGAAGATATCCCTGAGCAGGGGATCCGGTTCCTGTCCCTTTTTAAATAGGTGAACAGTCACTAATAGATGGCCAATCTGGTTTCCCACCAGAGTGCTCCTTCACCTATCCGCCCAGGGGGTGTACATCTACTCATTCAGATCTCCTGTACCACTTGTGGAATGGCTGCTACCAGGCCTATCAGCTGGGCTGCTCCTTCCCTTCCATACAGGTGGTCCTATCTCAGGGGGCCAGTGAGTCCTGAGTTTTCCAGCTCCAGGCAGGCCCCATCCTACTAGGCCTCCTGGCAGCCTTTCTCCTCCAGCCTCACATCTTCCTCTCTCCTTCTTTCACCCGACTCTTCACACTCCTCTCCTTCTTTCACCCGACTCTTCACACTCCTCTCCTTCTTTCACCCGACTCTTCACACTCCTCTCCTGA